TATAGCTAAACTCAGCAAGGTAAACAACAAGGGGATTCCCATTTACACAGTGGTAAGAGTGCTGGACCGGAAGTGTCGCACAAAAAAACGGAAGCTGGCTGCGTTCTGTTTTGCCTCCGTGTTTCCGTGAAAAATAAGGTGGATACAGTGAGTCGACATTTTGTTGTACTGTCCAATGTATAGTGGACTCAGTATCCCACAATGCACCGTGAGAAGTAGTGTATAACCGCCATAGACAACCGCAACCAATGGTCACTCGCTAAGCAATATATCCCACTATGCATTGCGCTTAAGTAACGGACGGAAAAAAGAGCAGCGGCACAACGAACTGTTGTACATATTTAACTTTTGACAACATGTATAAGCTTGTTTACCAGTTTTTGCCATATAATAAATTCAAGTCAATCCAGTGTATAGTCGTCGGCCCCGAAGAGATAAAAATAAATCGGCAATTGAGCCTCTGTAGTGCACAAAATTACTGTAAAGAGTAGGGCTAATAATGCAAGCTAATGTTAGCAAGCTATGACGCAGCTAGCTAGCTCCGATTTGTGCCATAATGGTGGAATGTATAACATTACACATTAAATTAATAGCATTAATTAGGACAGGTTTTGCAGCCACGCAGCTCTCTATCCTCTTGTCTCTCTGCCTGTGTAATGTTAGTAATACCTTGAATGTAAATACAGCAATGCATCACACAACACAAACAGCCACACAGTACTTTGTAAGTTAATGTTATTTAGTAATTAGGGGTGAAATGCGCTCGGGATATTTTCATGTATTTATCACAAATGTGTGTCAATGTCAGTTTTTGTTATGGGTTGTTCACTAGCCATATGACATGTTTCGGTTGTGTGACAGCAATGACAACAGTGCTGAGAAAATAAGCGGCTGCAGCAGGGGTCAAGTCCAGCAGCCTTCTGTCCATACTGGAAGTGACAGAAACATTCACATCCTGTCTGATGTGATGTCGATTTATTATAAATATTATCAGACCCTTATATCAGTTTGTTCTCAGTCTCCGGTTGTTTTAATTATGATAGGCTGATTTATTAAAATGCTTTCCAGGCGATCTGTAATTTATGTCCATGGTCCAACCTCAATTTTACATGAATTCTCACATAAATTAGCATCATAAATTAACATCATATCAGTTTGCTGCTGCAGAGCAGACCTGTCCCCTCAACTACACAGGCTAAAGAAATTGTGGCTGACAAGACAACAGCTTTCGTTTAACATCAGATATAGTCAGGCGTTCACATCTGCAAGGATGTTATTTCAAGAATCCTTACATCACACTGACCACAAGTCTTTGTAATGCTAAATACTTAAATGATTAAAATAGTCTAATGTTAATATACAATACACTGTGTAGTTTATAATGAATGTATTTAGTGTCTGACGACTAAACTTCACCACCAGTAACACAACATGTATCCTGTTAACAGAATAAACCTTCAAATCAGACAAATTACATATAAATTTCAGAAATTCAACAAAAATGAAAAGTTTATCTAACACATATTATTGAGTCAACATCTAAACCAGTCAGCTATTAGATCAGGGGAGAGCCAGGCATTTCCCATCATGCCCTGGGTCTTGCAGTCGGTGGAGAGCAACTGCAGCGCTGTGCTCTAAAAACTGCGACCAACTTGTTCACTTTTGTATGACATCAGAGCAAATTGTGATGAAGTGGGACACAAGACTAACTGGCATGCATTGTGTGGTGATGCTTGTGATAAAATCTGCACAGGCCTGGCTCATCACGAACGAGCCTAAAATGACCTGAGTAGTGTCTGAAGGTATTTTTCAAGTTACAGGAGAACTCACTGTATAGTCCTCTACATAAACTCCCTCTACAGTGAGTAGGAAGTTGTGAATGAGTGAATGATTTCGGACACAGCCTATGTCTGCCTTTGATGCTGTGTAAAAAGTGTGCACAGTATGTTTATAAGAATTTTTTTTGGTGGTAAGAGCTTGATGAGACTCAACTACACAGTGAGTCTGGAGGCTGTAAAACTAAAATAGAGCTGAAAGAGGATTAAAGAGCTGCACAGCTGCAGCTCGGTGGTGATTCGGCACTGTGTGAGCACGCCTTTCACATCAAGAGTCGGTATCAAAAATATTGATAATGCAGATTTAACTTTTGCAACTTTGTTCTACTGTCTAAATGGTAATGTGTAGCATTTCTCGAGCTCTGCTGTGTGTAACAATGATAAATGAACGACAGGTAAAGGTCAACTCATAATAAACTGTACAGTCTTTACATTAGGTTTGCCTGACATTATCAAGATGAGATAAATTAATTTTTCATTGATCCCTGACAGTAGGTCACAGACTGATGGTTTGCCTCATCAGGCTTTGTTCTGTCTGAGGTGAACTGTTGCCGTTTAGTCATTCACGTCAGCGGTTGTTCAGGGACTGAGACTTGATATTGCCGATGCTTGCTTCTTGGAAACCTCATTTGGATGGAAACCTACCACTCTCACTCTCTCCACACTGGAGAGACATATATCCTCGGCACTTTTGTGGGTCATCACAGGAAAAAAAAAAATCATAGTTGCCAGTGTCCTTACAGCACGCCCTTGCCCCTTTACACTGCACAGCTCCTTCTTTCACCCCTCTAGTGCCTACCCAGCCCGTGATAATAATGACGAACATCATTTATGCAAATGTAATTAGGCTGAGAAACATGATAGTGGAGCGCAGGGCGCCAATGGAAATTTATCACTGAACACTCAGGCTCTAAACATTCAATTAAAATATTGAATTTCACCGGATTTAATCTAAACGCAATAAATTAAGCAGTGGAAGAAGGGTTTGCAGTAGAGCAGGCTGACATTTGGCTGCCAGTATCACACTTAGAGATGGTCATTGATTCCACTACCAGCCTCCAACATGCTGACTAGTAGACACAGAACCAGGAGGGAAGGTGAGGTCGGTCGGTGTATCTGTATCTGGGTCAGTGTTTTGTCTACAGCATGTTTGGAGAGGTGAAGTTTGGCTCTGCTGAGACAAATTACCTCAACACCAAAAGGAATAAATGTGCAATTAGATATGGAGTGTGTCTGTCACATGGTGTTACTGCTGTTGAAGTTTTTCCAAGGTTTAATTTAAGACGTGAGGTGGGAAAAACAGAGAAACTCTCTGACAACTCTCAGACATAGATATCAGTTAACTGTTCAACCTAAACAGGAAAAGTAGAAACACAGCTTTGTCTGTATGACAAAGTAATGTTAGACAGCAAGTTGAGGTTCCTGTGCTGACAATGCAACGGACAATCTGACCTAATAGTGTGGCAGAAAGTCAAAAACATGAACAATTTTTAAGTCACTATTATTTTTGTGTGGAAATAAGACAAACCTAACTTGTCATCTTTTTTACATGTTGATTTAACCCTGCTTTTTTTATCACATGGGTGTATTGTCACCTCATAAAGTTGGTGAACACACATTGCATTCATTTACAGTTTTGTCACTATCAGTCAAATGTAAGTCAAATATTCACCATTTCTTTAGGTGTCTTTTGGCCTCTATGCACCCTGATAGGAGTTAAACGCTCCACTATGTCACCAGCTTGTCGCTTAGTTTGTGTGACTTGGTTTGGTGCTAGACAGGTAGCGTACAGTCAGTGGCTCTATCAGCTGCCTGCTACATCTGGAAACATTTCTCACTATGAGTGACACATTTCACATCACACTTAAAAGTTAAATGTTTGGATTTAGGGGGATATATTGGCAGAAATGGAATAGAACATAATAAGTATGTTTTCTTTAGTGTACTATCACCTAAAAAACAAAAATCATTGGGTCTCATTCATGAAATGTTAGTAAATCTATGAGTAAATATGCACAAACCTCAGTACTAAATCCTACTCCGGATTCATGAACGGTGCGGAAAACTTGGATTTGATCGTAGGCACGTGTGTATGTTCATGAATGCCAGTAAGTCGTAAATTCACAGCGTGCTCCTGCTAGTCAGCAATAAGCATACACCCCGCCCATGATTAGCCACCCTCCAACTTCCTGCCAGATTTGGGTTCACCAGCTGCCCTGTGTGACCAGAGACAGATGCTGAATTACTTTCCCACGTCCACAGGTCTTATTCAACCAGAACTCAATTTGAAGTAATGTTTAGGTCTCCCACATTGCATCTCTGATAACTAAATTAAATAAAAATGGCATGCAGTTTGGGGCTGCAGAGTGTAAAGAAGGCAGAGGAGGAGCACATATTGATGAATGCCAAAATACACGTAAATTTCCTTCTGTGAACAGTTTACGCACAAATTCGTTTTGCTAACGTTTCATGAATGACACCTATTGTGTTTTTGTCATCTTAGAATGAGCCGTTTATATCTACATACGGAGCAGGTCGTCGTCTACAGAGATCACCATGTTGCACCCCCATGTAGCCTGAAACAAACCAAAAACTGGCTCTGGATAGGGCCATTCACATTTTTGTATTTCGCGTCAGTCAACATAGTTAGCAGCCCTTCTACGTCAAGAGCATCAGAAGAACACCAACCTTTTATAAGTGAAACTGCTACTATTCAGTGTTTTAAATGGTTTAAATCACCATGTCTGTTTGTTTTGCAGAGTTAGAGACTTCCGCGGAGAATTCAGTGCTTGATGAAAACCTCCTGAACATTTGGATCTTAAGTTAGAATAAAAAGGTGAGCAGAGATTAGCTGGCTGGTGGGCTGCTCTGACATGCCAAGCAGAGGCAGAGAAACACTGATTTGTAACATCAAACTGCTTTATTCAGTGTTTTATCTGTGTTAAATCTCCGGGTTTGTTTGTTTTGGAGAGGAAGACCTCTGCGTATTATTTAGCTCTCGTTAAAAACCTCTGGAACAATTAACAGTGAAGGAATTCTAAGCAGAAGAAGTTTCAGCTGGTTGCCGTCTGCAGTCCTCACCACTAGATACAACTAAATGCCCCTAAATCTTACACACCGAACCTTTAATCATTTGATCTGTTGTTGATATAAATATTGATCAGTGCAGCTTTAAGTTTTACGTGCAACTGAATGAAGATTCTGCATAGTTTGGCTAAAGTCTCTTTGCACTGCACTGCTCTTCCCATGAAATACCATGATAACAACAGATGTTTGGTTAATTAAGTTAAACCCGCCCTGAAAGGGCTTGACAACAGTGGTACTTTGTGAGATTTGTATGCTGTTTTGAACTAACAAACAGCAGGTGTTTGTCTTCATCTAATTAGGTTTTTTTTTTTTTTTTTTTGGCAGAGTTGGGAGATAGTAAAAGCTGGAGACGTGTTGCTTGTGGATGTGTTTCCAAGGTGATAAACCTTTTCACTCCAAAAGTGACAAGAGGTTGAGAAATCGCAACAGCCGCTCACGCTGCTCTGTGTAAGTATCTATCCACGCATAAACACACAGAGTAATTTCCACTACACCTAACTGAGAAATATAACTTTGCTGCTGTGTTTGCTGGTTGAACAGCTTTATACCTGCATTAAAACAAAAATATGTTGCATATAATTTACATTTATAGGCACACAGTGTCAGGTGAGGTGAACTGTGTAACCAACTGGATGCCCTCACCTCTCTGTCTCTGCTTAATGTAGCGTGAGTGCTTCTTGAGAGTCGATCCTCGCTCAAGACTAAAACTGCAATTTCAGCCTCCAGTCGTACAAACAAACTTACAAGTCGTGTGAATACAGATCCAGAAAAAATTGCCACACTCTTGAGAGCTGTGCTCTCAGCGCTCGCTGTGAGACAACGTCAGAGCTTACATCTTGTAATGTCTTCTGCTCTGTTAGTGTTTACATACGGGGGACATGGCGGCCCGCCTGCCTCTGCTTCATGGTAATAAGCTGCCATTGTCCCAGTTCCCGTAATATCACATTAGAATTTCATCTCAAGGGGGGAATTCACTGCGAGTGTGAGAACTTTCTATGTTTAATGAATAAGACTGGGGAAAGAGTCTCTTAGTAGTTGCATTAATGCTCTTTTTTGTCCCCTGTCCCTCTGTACATATTGTGCATAATATCAAACATGACCTGAATCTTCCTCCATTTCCATAATGCCCCTCTGGATCTTGGTGGTATTTTGTCTCGTTTTGTGCTGCATTTGAAAGCAGAAGTTAAATTGCGACAGAAAACTAGATACAAGGCAGAGATGTCCTTCAAAGATGCTTTTAACACAGACCTCATAAGCCTGTCACTTTAAAAGGAATAAGTAATGTAAATAAATTTAAGATTTTTATGCTTTGCTTTGCTTTTTTAATCTAACACAATATTTAAAATGATGATAGTAATGATAATTTTAATCATGGCAGCTTTTATACACTGTCTCATGGCTAAATGTTTTTGGACACACGATTTTGGAACCTGGCAGAAGGGATTTGCTCCCATTTAGCCACACGAGCGTTAGCGAGGACGGCCAGTGATGTTGGGTGACAAGGCCTGGCTCGCTGTTGGCGTTCCAGTTCATCCCAAAGGTGTCGTGTGGTGTTGAGGTCAGGACTCAGGTTCTTCCACGCCAAATTAAGAGGGCTTTGTCATTGTGTACAGTGGCATGAATATGTTGAAACCAGAAAGGGCTTTCCCGAAAATGTTGCCACAAAGTTGGATGCAGACTGTAGCATTAAGGTGTCCAGCCATAATGGGGTGTCGACATACTTTTGGCCATGTAGTGAATGCACAGTATATCAGCAAACTCTCAAACAGCATGATTACATTCATGAAACATTGTCATGTTGGCAGTGCATCAACAAAGACCAGACATATCAGCAATGTAGCTGGATGTCTGCTGTGTGTACTATGAGCGCTCCAACCAGTGAGTTTTCCATTATTAACTTTAATCTGGACCTCGCCGTGTCTTAGATCTACTATCCGACACCAAACACCGGCCCTACAGCCACCGATAGCCTGGCATCATTTATTTATCTCTAATTAGCTGCTTTTCATTCAAAATCAAGAAACCATAGACAGGAATAGACATAACTCATCCCTGCATCTAGGCCAATGTTTAGTCTGGGATCCCGAGGTTGATCCTCCTCCCTGTATTTGATAGTGCCGCGATTCATTATTCACTAAAGATCGAGTTTTAAAGCAGGGCTGTTGTGCCGTTTTAGTGCGCCGGGGAAGACAAAGATTTCCTGACAAGAGATTTTTCATGTTCTCTTTCAACCAGTCTGATAAATGGTTTCTAGGAATCAACTTTTATTTCTGACTTGTCTTGTTGGGTGGGTGCTTCAGCAGCCCAGTTGCCAGAAGACAATGTTGGCATTGTGCATTTCTGCAAACCACAAATATGTGACATAAGCATGTTTTATGCGTATCATGTTCATATCATATCACTGTTTCTAAAATGACAAAATGTATAACATTGGCCTTGAACCATATGTAACATCCTCTTTATCTAGAAGCCAACCATTTTTAGTTGCACAGCTGAGAGCTGGTTTTCCTTTGAGATCAGGAGATTCAACAATATTCAGGATTAAAATAGTTTTTTGAGCATTGTGATTTGGGTGGAAAGTGAGTCCCATCTTTTATATTGCACTCAGTGCGTTTACATGCACACAGTAGTCAAGCTAAGCTCATAGCTTGGCTCATCAGTCAAGTCGGACTTGACTCGTCTTGTCTGAGTATACATGCAAAAGAGAAAATCGAATTTCTGACCAAGTACGTCCAACTCCGCCTCGATAGGAGGCCCTGTGTCCTGTTTAATATAGCGGGCATTGAACTAGTTCCGGTTGACCCGAAGAGGAAGCTAACAACGAATGAAGATGGCGGAGATGGATGTAGTTTCCTCGTCCGTCCAGAAGTGCGTCGTCTGCTTCGCGGCCGCCATGGTGTTTATTTGTTTTTCCAGCACTGCTGATGTGTCATCTCCTTCTTCTTCTGAGTGAAAGCCAGCGAAAGAAAAAGTGGTGCATGCGCAGAATGCTGAGTATGACTCCAGTCGGACTAAGTGGATACATGCAGCAATAGCTCGACTTTCAATTGAATTATCTAGGTGTGTTAGTCGAGCTACAGATAGTCCAATTTCAGTCGGGCTAAGCCAATAATTCGATTTTCTCAAGCTGCATGTAAATGTACTGATGACTTAAGAGAGTTTATATTCTGTGAAATGGCTCATTTAAAAATTTTCTGATGCTCAAATGATCAAAAGCTAGACTGGGTGGTTAATGTTAGTGTGTTTAAGTTTGCCAATTTTGTCGCTAAAGCCTGGAAGAGAAGGCAAGAATGATTGTTTAACTAGGGCTGGGCAATATGTCCTGACAATTATATCACAATATTTGTAGGCTATATTTCAATACACAATATATATCTAGGTATTTGTAAATCATCAATGCAGGGACTGGGAGACAAAATGGAACATAACAATATTTCTGATCAAATACCCTCTGTGATGTGAGTTGTGGAGATGATGACAGTTTTGTTTTGTTTCTTGTTGTTTTTTTTTTTTAATCAATAATCAGTAATGTGGATATAATAAATAAGTGGGTTAAGGCAAGGGTTAGAACAAGTAGAAAAGTCTGGTAAGTTGATACATTTACATCACTACAGCCTTTAAAATGAGGGAAAAAACACCATTTGTGTCATATCACAATACTTCAATATCCAAAATCTAAGACGATATATAGTCTCACATCTCAGTAATGATAATATCTTCATATTGCCCCGCCCTAACTCATTTATTTTTATCTTTCTTTCAGTCTTACATGATAAATTCCTTTGTGAGTGATCCACGAACTCGGTCTTCCAAAACGTGGATCTGATTATATATGATGCTTTTGCTGCTTTGTTTCATTTTCTTTCTTTTTAACGTTGTCTGAATTTATGTTTGCTGGACTCTGATCCTGGTTTGTGCTGAATTTATAGCTGAATATATTGCTGACTTTGTCATCAGGAATTGGAGGAGATGGTGGATGGCATCACCTTCTGTCTGTGAGACACCTGCCAAGCTGCAGACACCAGTTGGAATCCAAAAAACAAAACCAGTTGTGTTTTAGTGAGTTGTTGCTGTGTTGCCATTGGCTGCTTTTCCTGCTGGGATTATGCCCCCAAAACATGATCTTGTCCTTACCATAACCAAATGGTTTTTGTGCAAAAACCTAACCATTGTTGAAATGTAAGCTTTCAATGTGTCTGCTACACAATACGTGTAAATGTAACATATCTGATTTGCAGAAACCTATGATGCCAACATTTTTCGATTGGGTCGGCTTCAGCTAAGAATTATTTGGTGTTTCCACCAAAATCAGTAATCACAGGTGCTTCCTCAGATGCTCACATAGCACTTTTTACAATATGCTTTCCAACCAGGACACAGAGTTGGTTGTTAAAATATGATATTTCAGTTTCATCTTGGTTTATGCTTTTTGAAGTTTCCATAGTAGGATTTAAATGTTGGATGATAAAGGAGCTGTGTTAAATGATGGGTTCCTCATACCTCTTCTAGCTTAAAATGCTCTTCCAAACCCCCCAAAGTCTGGCTCAAGTGAATTTATCCGACAAGTTCTCCTCATATGAGATCAAACTACTCCCAGGAAAAAAAAGACTTTATAATGTTGTTACATTCATTAGAAACAGCTCACAATATGAAATAACATTTTGTTCTCCCGTCACTTTGTTAAGGACCCTTCCATATTCATTTACAGTATGTACTGCTCTCCCCAAGTCGAATTATATGTTAGGAGGAGAACCGCAAAAAATAATATGACAAAATAAAGGACACTGAAGTCAGTTGAGGAAATGATAGTGTAGATGTTGCATGACATTGTTTTTTCATACTGTACATCTAAATATTAAACCATGTGTAATAGCATACCCTGCGAGAGAAAAGAAGTATTTTAATTGCCAAAATCTTGCAGTGTCTAATACCCCTGCAGCTGTTTTCCAGGACCAGACTTTATGACTCACTATATAAATATTTTATCTGCACCATAAATATAGCTCCAGTCTATGATGTTAGCTTTGGTCAAGTGCTTATTTTGGATCATCAAGAGAGCTACAGAGACTGAATTGGTTTTGGCTCATCTATCTTTTTTCACTTTTCACCTCTCTGTCTCTATTACTTTTGCTCGGCTGTATGAAGCTGGTGATACAACCAATTTGTGTTGGCAATATAGGAAGGAAACACTAATAGCAATGAGCAACAATGTGAGACAGATTATTTCTAAGAACGTATTAAGATGTGTTCTCAGTACCAAACGTTGCTATGTCATTAAAGATGTGATTCTGGGCAGCTTCTGACAGTCTAGATATGCTCTATGGACGATTTTTGCTGTTAAAGTCTCATTCAGTTGTGCAAACCTGAGATGCATACTAATGTTTCTCGTCTTGATGAATGATTTGTAAAGTTCAATATTTTCCAACGCGTTTACTTTGGATGATTGCGACATGCAGAGGTTTGACTGATGATTCTTAATTTAGCTTTTTTGTCATTTTGCAATTTAGCATCACTCTCCATTACTTACACTTTCCTTCAGACTTTGAAGAATTCCTTTGTGGCTCTTGTTACTTTACATTCCTCTACTTAAACCTAAGACATGCACTAATTACCTGGGTCTCTCATAATGGATGTCCTAATGTTTTATTTACCTGGTGAGACTTTAATCAGCTCCCTGATTTCCTCTGTTGTTACACACCTTACCGTGAAACATGGCCTGTGTATATCCTCTTATCTGACGCTGCCCACTGTGCTCGCCAGCCGGCTGCCGACAGGAGAGCTGGAGGTGGCAGACGGAGTGTGTTTGTGTGTTTGTGCAAGTGCGTAGATGTAAGCATTTTGGATGGTGCCTTCCTACAGTTCTCATTTATACATGCAAGTCTCTGTGTGTTTGCGTCTGCGAGTGTTAATGTGTGTGACAGGTGCCAACTCCTATGTCAGGGGTGAGGTCACACCCTCCCTCCTCAGCCTAGGTGTCTGCAGAGGTTCGTATCAACTCAGCAAGTAGGGTGAACACCTTTTACCCCCCCATGCACACCCGTACCAACAGGCGTACACACACCCAGCCCCCCGGATGTCATTAGCCTTTACGCTAACAGCAGGCCCCAAGGAAACTTGGGAAAATGGGGAGGGTCACAAGCCACTCTTGAGCACTTGTTTTTAGCGAAGCATGCAGATGAAAGCGTTGTGCATTTGCTGCTGCTACATCAGTGATGTCACGACTCCTATTGTCAAAGCTGTTTACAGAGTGATATATGGAGGTGATGTTTATCTGCTGCTTAGAATTGAATGTGTCACCACTTTAATGAATCAACATTCATAACATCTGAAGGTGCAATCACACCTTTAGTGTGTTTTTGGATGTGAGCTCCTGTGTAGTAGAAAAGTTTTATTTTACCTCGCTGTTTAAAAATAGAAGAACACATTCTGCAAACAAAGTGAACTCAGAAGTTTTTAAGGTTTTTGATAGCTGTTTAAAAAAAGAGGAAAACTGGAGTGTCTTTGCTTCAGACAGTGCAACCCAATTGCCAGAATAGATATTGCCCTGTACGTTTCTGCAAACCACTGCTATGTCACAGTTGTACGTTATTATATAGTGGTTATGTTGGAACTTTGTGTTTCAACAACACTTGGTTAACATGTGGTTATGTTTAGGCACAAAACCCCTTGGTTATGGCCAGGATAAGGTCATGTTTTGGCTTAAAATTCCACTGGAAATGCTGTGGTTTGGTCCTAAAAACATCCAGGTTTGGTGGCACAATCACAGCTGGAAAAGCCGCGATGTCACATGAATAAACAATTGGTTTTGTTGTTTGTTGGTCTCAGACAGTGGTCTGAAGTGATGTGCAACTTGGCAGCAAGTGGCAACCTTCAGGGCTGAAAAATGAAGCTGACATAGACATGCCAAAAACTTTAGTTCTTTGAATGTCCACTTGAGAATAACTCCAGAGGCCAGTCAATCCTCATAGACCCCATGTTAAAATGCCCAACGTTACAGCAGCAATAAACATGTTCACAGCCTGGTACACAAAACGGTTTTGGTCTCTATAGCTATTATCCCCTTCATGACAACTGTACAGGGGGTGAATTTTTATATAACTCACCCATTTGTATTTTATTTATGCTTTAGGTTATGAATAATTAAGGATGGGCCACTCTGAGTGACAAGCTGTCTTCGGCTTCTCCATCAGATCCAGCCTCTCGTCCAAATATGGTCACTTCTGGCTCCAAATCACGGAGATGGACGCTTCAAACAGGAGTCCACAAACCATCACGGTAGCTATGTCCATTATTTTTACAGTCAGTGCTTGACAGCTGTCTTGCGTAGGAGTTATGCAATCCTCCATCCCCTCCACCCCCTGATGAAGAAGTCGGCTCATGTAATCAGGGCTGCGTCTCTTTGGAAACAATGATACGATTCATATCAAACGTATAACATATCCGTGGTTTGCAGACACATAAAATGCCAACATGTTCTTCTGCTGATGGGGCTGGACAGTAGTTAAAAGAACAAAGCTCTTTAGTATCAGCACACTTCATGATGTATCTGTGTGCAGTTTTTTGGCTCAAATCATGTTATTCAGCTCTGAGGATGCTTAAATTCAACACCTGAATGTCTGCTTCTCTCATATTTGACACTATTTCTTTTCTAATGCCCCCAAAAGGTGCTACAGTAATACCTGGGTATCTTTTTTACTCATCTGTTGTAATCTACTCACACACACACACACATCCCAGCTCTAACACCTTCTCTCTTTTCTCAATATAAACTCAGCGACAACTTCACCGAGTGCTGATATGTGTCGAATCCAAACAAAACACTGCAGTTGGCCGTGACATTTAAAGTGTGTCACAGAGATCACGCTGCATGCAGAGTGTGAAATATGATTTACACTGAAAGTTCTCATTTAAATTATAAACAGTCAGAGAGAGGGGGGGAGCTTTGTGAATGAATTCCCATCGAACCGCACGCACATGGCTGCTGCATCATTTATGACCTAATATGGGCATAAAGGGGCTGGCAAACTGTCACATCCAGTTCAAGTATCCATATCCTGATTTAGGTCTCATACAGTTGAAGCTTTTACACACCACTGATACCCTGTGACTGAGCAGTGCTGCTGCAGTGAATGAGCACTTAACAGAAACACCCTGTCTAAAGATAAGATTGAAAGACATTTCAGTGCAACCGTATCTAACTCAATATTGTAAGATCTTGCTGTTCCAGATCACACAATGCCTGTATTATACTGTTTCTAAGCGGTGAATCATGCTGTTATTGAAACACATTTTGTCCTTCTTGACCCTCTAAAAGACTGAGGACGATGGTGCAATAAGGAAACTAAAAACATTGCCAAAACATTTTATTCCTAGGTGAAAATTAGAACAGAAATATTCTTAAGAAATCCTGTTTCTTCTCATGTCTCCTGCTCACAGTGTAATTTATTACCTCTTAATTTACATTTTGATTGGCTCTATTGGCCTACATACTCATTTCATTGTGGAAACGCTGGGAGTTTTGTCATAATTTCCTCATATAATGACATAGTACCGAGATTATTCTGTTTCACTTGTGATGTTTACTTGTGTCAGCTCACACTGGGTTACTAAGTATGGTGGTGATTATACTGGACTCCTTTTTGGCAGCGAGTGTTTCCTTTCTTTTTATTGTTTTTGGTGAATTTGAACCATTTTGCAAACTGTTTATATTATGCGCCTTAGTGTGCGTGCGCTTCTGAATGTCATTAAGGCATTCATCCAGGCTGCAGGAGGGCACTAGTTGTTGCTAGTTTTTTTGATGATATGTCTACATTGATGCAGCCGTCCTTACAGAGGTAAAGACACAGTGATCGAGAGAGAGGACACGAGAAACAAAAATACAATTGCTTTGCCAATTATTTGTTCTATATGTATATGCAGTAAAGTAGAAACCTGGAAGTAATGCTAAGCATATCATTTGAAAACAGGTGTTCTGATGGTGTCTGCACATCTCCGTCTCCAACAGTTTGTTGTGTTGTGGCATGTCGAAATGACGTCTCAAACCAGGCCGTCACTTTGTTAACAGTCTAATTTGTCTAACCGTCACAGTTCTTGAGATGTGTTGGAAATGAAAAAAAAACAAAGACACAAACAATCTCCTTATTTATTCCTGATTTTAATGCCTGTGACTTCTTAGTTCCCATAAAAAGTCCCGTACTGTGTGCTGGATAAGGCCCGAATGTGACTGTCTGTTCGTGTAACATATCAATCAGAAAACTGACTCTTAGTTTGACAAATCAGTTTGACGGAGGGCAGACTCTGATTACCAGCATGTGTTTGATATTATTTTCTGTAAATGTCATGCACACATGTGCAGATGTATATTTAACTTTACTTTTACTTCACATTTGTCCATTGATCTTAGTAATGTGTGTGACAAAAGGAGAGTGATTTTATTTCAAATATTCATATCAGATAAAATGATATGTGATATACGTTTTACAGATAAAACAGGTGGCTGAAATGGTTTTCAATATGCTCTCCAGCTGCCAAGATCACTTTTTTAAAAAGAAAAATCCCTTTCTAACACTGGGGTCTCCTCTGGCTGTGGTGTCACTGTTCGACCCTAGAGTATTTATTTGCACTGTCTTTCTCTCACACATTCCTTCCCAGTGAGCCAGGCCTTGGGCTGCCAGCGGAGGACGTGAAGTCAAGTTAGGGAGCCAAGGCCACTGTCAGCTCTCAGTGGTTAGAATAACCCAGAAAAACCTCCTGGGAACCGGGCCTGGATCAGACCAGCGCTGGCAGGGAGAATAAGTGAGAGGTAAGAGATGAAGGAGACTTTTTTTGTGGGGGGGTTCTCATCGCAGTAGCTGAACCTACGCTGAATATTTGAAGAGAAAAAGGAACTGTGAGCAGAACTGTTTTCCTGGCAACTTCAAACTTAAGATACTGCAACCTTTAGTTGTACTTTGACCTTAAAACTTCATTTTATGAGGTGAAACTTTGTAGTTTGATGGGATTTGTTAATATAAACCATGTAAAGAGTCCTGTAGAATCCTTTATCAGCCGTCCGTCAGTCCGCGATTGTTGCTGAGAAAGTAAAGTTTAGCACCTAGATTTGCATTTTATTAGCTAGTCCTTGTGTGAGCACATGTACACATACTATGGCCCCATTTGTAGTACCTTATGATGTATATACTGCATATTTGTTCTTTTTTATTGTATGATTTTGTGTCTTGACACAACGTGATCTCATCCGTACTCATCATATTTTAGGGCTTGGACAAAAGCCCAAAAGGCCAGCAGCCTTTTATGTTGTATCTTGATGCAGAAGGGGTCGTTGAATTGTGACATGGAAGGAGTTGGGCGTAAGTCATGAGTTGACTCACGTGACTAAGAAGGGGTTGTTGGTTAGGTTTAGGCAACAAAACTAATACTACACTTAGGAAGAGATTGTAATTGACGTCACTCAACTCGACTCATGTGACTTAACGACTCGTGACTAAAAACTGACGTGACAAAATAACTCAACTTGGACTTTTAGTTTCACACGGGACACAAACACTGTCTCTTGGGTCAAAGTCTTGTGCTTGTTGAAGTCATCCGCCTTAAGCAGGCTTTTGCAGTCTTAATACTCTGTCCATTGCTTTTACCATCTAATAATGACGTGGATGGGTTTACACTGGATTTAGCTGAAAGTCCAGTGCTTCTCATATAGATCCAAAGGGGCACTGCCCAAGCTGTGTATGTTTAGACGCCCTGGGAGTAAGACTAGTCTGCTTTACAAAATTAAGGCACGGATTTTACTCTTTTAAAAGAGAACAAAGCAAAACATTAAGGGAATTTCAGTATCTCCACAAACATAATGCAACTATAAAACCTTTTTTTTGTGCAGCAGCATTGTAGCGACCACTATCAATAAAAAAGCGTCTAAGTCAGGCTCCTAACTGTGATGCATTCAAAGAGATTCATGATGAAGTCCAGAGATGCGTGTTATGGTAGTTTATTAAACAAAAGACTGACAACTGAAAATAACTAAAGCGAGATGATGTGCCGTTACTTGAGCAGAATAAAGTGAGACCAAAACTCCCCCTCTCTGTCTGACACCAGTGAATGAACAGGTGAAATAATGCAAAACCACACCCTGTGCCACTTAAAACTACCAGAGGTGAAAGTGACCAAAAGAACTTGTGCAGCTTAAAAAGATAATAAACAGAGGCTTAATACACAAATATAGACATGCATTATGCTAGCATAAGGATATGCTAATGCTACACACCACACTTTACCACTTTAATAAAACTGATGAGTAATGTGACTGACGCCAGCGCCACACAGAGGCGTGTAGACAGGTGAAGCACTTCCACATGACATCACATACTAATCCTTCAGTTTATTCTGCTAGCTGCTTTGCTATTGGCTTTTCTTGGCAAGGCCCGCACTACTCTGCCTCTGATTGGCTACATTGCACTTCTTAGCGCGTCTCTCTCGTGTCTTGCCCATAGACTGTATACATGTAGTGGATTTGCAGTGGAAACAAGGGCTACAAAAAGGGCCGAGAAAAGACCTGAGGGACGAAGAACAGAATTAAGAAGGAAGAGAGACAGTAACATACTGATGTCACCTGTTATTTGCAGGACGTGTTCATGTTCTAATGTCCCAAAAAGGAAAAGTTTTCATTTAAGTCTGTTACTTTTAATGTTTTAGTACTGTATTTTATTTATAATGATTTTATTGCCTGAAAAATATATTTTGGAATCCTGTTTTTGGGTTACTGACAGAGCCAGAGAGCCGACTGAAAGAGGCTGAGACAGAGAAATGCATTAAACAGGAAGAGAAAAGAGCAATAGGCCGACTGATGATGTCATGTTATTGGAAGACATGTTCAAATATCACAAAATCTTCAGAAAAAATGAGGAAAGTTTTAATTTAAGTCTGTTACTTTATAGTAAACAGTTCAGCTGAACATTTTTTGCCTGTCTGTTTGTTTGGCTGACAGTTTTTCTGATCACTGAGATAACGCTGATTCAACAAAGTTAAAAAATAAAAGTAGCTCTGTAATTAGCGACCTACTTTTGCCATTTTCTTGTAGCTTAGCTTGCTATAATCCTCTGGTGGTAGCTTCAATGTAGTGAAACTTTATTTTGATGTAGAGTAACTGGTAGTTTAGCTCACTACATTTTCCAAGTAGCTTGCCCAAGGCTTGCCATTGAGGCTATTTGTAGACATTCATTTCCAAATCCTACACATACTGTACGCTGATATAAAAATTCAACTTTCAGATAAGTATAAAGCCACATTACTTGTCTTCCATAGAGACAGAAATGAGACTGACTGAAAGCAAAACAAAAAATGGAGCAAATTAGCCACCACTGTGTTATCTGCTGCCTGTGCAGCCACAGTATAAACCTCTCCGCTGACGTGACTCCAGCAATAAAATGTCACACATTATCTCAAATCTCTCTCCTCTCACTCGTTACTCTCAGGCTCGCTCTCCCCTCCTCGCTGCCCCTGAGACGGTGTGTGCCTTTGACACGTGTGCAGGAAGGACACACTATCAGTTTTTCTAATTACTTATTGGTCATGATCAATTAGCAACATTTTAAGGCACTACGGTAACCTTGTATAAATACACTGGTGGAGTTCAGTGGCCATCATGGTTGACAATTAAATTGGTCTGTCACTGCTGGGCCCTTCATTAATCTCAACTTGTCATTCTTGTTTATGCTGGTTGTAATGGCTGTGTGGGTGTGTGCGAGGACTCGGCTCGAGTGTGTATGTGTGTGCAGAGGAGGTCAGATCTGTGATGTGAGAGAACTTCGAAGTTGTGTGTATATATGTGTCACATGCATGTGTGTGTTTATTTGCATGAATCTATATGTGTACATGTGAAGGAAGTGTATATTTTCTGTGTGTGTGTGTACGTGCGGTATGTGGAAATCTTTTTAATCGTAACTGTCATGTTGAAGCCAGTTGGCACCCCGAGGTGATTACCTCATGTGTCCTTGAGTATTTTCTAAATTGCTCGGAGATGTTTAGAGCCTCTCCAAATGACTTTCATAATCGTGCGGTAACGTGGCCATTTACACCATGTGAGAAAACTCCCACTCACTTAGACCCGCTTTTGCATCAATTGAATTCGACAGGAAAGCTATTGTATGTTGCGTTTAGTTTCAAATCTGTGATCCTCTCACCGTTTCCTGAGTGTATAATTCCCTCAGTATACAAATTTAAGTTGGGGCATAACTATTTAATTTAGTTTTGATTGTTGGTAATTTTATTGGCATTTTGGTTAACAGAGCACTAATGGGATCTCTAACTGAGTGATGTCAGCACTGGGAAATAAGACGCACACACACTGGTGGGAAACAATAGTTAGAACCACATACACACTCGTGCTGCTGACCTTTCACCCTCTTCGCTGTCTTCTGACCCTCCTGGTGTGACCCCCCCGCCATCCCATTGGCAGGAGGATGGGTTGGCGTTGGTCACATACCCCCCCCCCCCCCCCCACCTCTCTCCCTCCTCATTGTTTCTGGGTGAGTGTATCTGACTGGAGACGAACAAAGGAGCGTGTGGGCGCCCGAGGACGCAGGCTCGCCCTGGTTCCTATTTACATATGAATGTCAACACTTATTTTGTGACTTGTCTCCTATATAAGGCTTTCAGTAGCGATATGATGAGTGTGTAGATTTATAAATGTGTGTGCTTTTGCGTGTGTGTTTGAGCAGAGTTGCTGAGTGAACTTTATGGCCTCATACGAAGGGAAGTGGTTTGAATGTGTTTTTGGGATGATACTTCTTGTGCTGATGAATAGGTTTTATAAAAATTAGCATTCAAACGTTAAAATTATTGATGATTAAGAGGCCTTTTATGTTTACCAATAGCTGTATTATCTCTCTGTCATGTGGGCCTGATAGATGTGGCTATTGAGGCAAACAAGGTGAAAAGTTTATGACCTCCTCGCAGCTGAAATTGCCCAAAACCTGCCACATTTTCTTTATTATGTTGGTTTACAAACCAGTGAAGCATTGTTTTAGATTTTAATTTAAGGTTTTATCTCCTAAACCTCAGATTCAAAGGATACACTAAAAGTTTTAAGGTACTAAAAACAACCAAATTCAAAATATTAGTTCATATTAAGACCAATAAACCATGTTTTAATTGATATAAATGACTGAAAATATCTCAGCAGGTTACTGGACTAGTTGGAGTTAAATGCCACACTACAAACTTATGATGTAAAATAATTAACAACACGATAAAATAAAAATAAAATAAGATAAAATAAATTAAATAAAAGACATTATAATGAAATAAAATGCAATAGAATAAAAAAATAAATTAGAATAAAAATAGAATAAATAATCATAATGACAGAAAGTTGTTTTTTTTTTTTTTTAAAGATAATTATAGTAATAATATGGTCAAATAATGACACTAGGTTTAGATAGTGTTGCAAATACAGTCATCACATAATAAATAATTATATTTAATTATTATAAGTTGTAAAAGCAGTGATAGATACATACTCAAATAGAGGAAAATGATTGTAAAATTACTTTAAAATAAATTATTTGACTAACAAAGACCAACAAAAAGTCTTAAATCTTAATCTAATCATAAATAAAGCTAAATAAGCAATTAAACAGACAGCGCAGTCATTACTTTATAATCCTTTGTCCTTAATTGCTGCCGAGAACAGAACGGTGAACAGCAATAAATTGAGAACATTTGCACATGGCAGCTTTTTTCTCTTTTCTTAGCAGACTGTTAGTGTCAACCATCAAGTCATGTCCATTTGATTGGTGTGCACGCACA